TGCTGAAAGGTTTTAGCCTTTTTTTTTTTTTTTTACTAATGTTCATCCAATACAAGGACCAAGAGCCACTCAAGGTAGTATGTAGCGCAAGAAAGGGCAAGCAATAGCGTTATTGGAGCTATGCAGGAAAGATAACACCTTACTCTAGACTTTAAGGGCGCAAAATTTAATTAGTGAATAACATTTCAGAGTCCAGCCGAAGACGTTAGAAAGACAGTATGCAAGTAGACTTTAGAAAGAACGGAAACCCAATCCAAAGCAGCAAAGAAGGGATAAACCTCTACTCTTGTTCAAAAGACAAGGAAGGAGCGTGAACCGATCGACAGGCGGACCTATCTACTCCGGTTTTTTACTTACGAATGGGGATATTAGGATCATATTATCTACAAGCATCTTGCGAACGGAGTTTGGTAGGTTTTCGAGTGTGTTTAAATGGCTCCTAATTGAGCTATGGTATGAGCGATGCAACCTGAGACTTTTTGATAAGCATGTAGCGGTATGTTCAATATAAGTATACATAAATTTGGTTTGATCAGGAACGCAGTTCTTTAAGGAGCATTATTTTGTTTTAACCTGGGGAATGATTCGGCACTCAATCTGTAGGTTGTGCTATGCAAATGAAGAAAAAAAGAGGTGTCACTGAACAGTAATTAATGTGTAATTAATTTGTATATATATATATATATATATATATATATATATATAATTGATCTATTTTGTCATTAATTCTTTATATATATATATATATATATATATATATACAAATTATTATTGCCACTCCTGTATTCAATGATCTTTAAAAAAGCGATATTTTATGCATAAAAAAAGGATACAAAAGTATCACAACGATTAAAATTTTAGGCCCATTTCGGCCGACACATCTTCAGAAAAATAATATCGTCGGCAAATAAAACTAAGTAGTTGAAAAAAAAAAAATCAACAACGGGTGTTAAAATATACCAAAATTAGGGGAGGAAACAAGAAATAATATTTTACTAGTTAGGCGACCGGCTCCCCGAAAAAAGCCAACTTGTGTTTTAATTCTCTCTGCCTCCACTGGGCGGGACGTTGTATATTAATAACAACATACTCCAAGATGTCAAGCTGGAGCCTGGTCCGTGCCCTGTGCAAGACAGAGAAGAACTATATATATATATATATATATTATGTTTGTTGCTGAAGAAAATAGCACTGTTAGAAGTTGATAAGTTTCTGTGTCGTTATAGCTGAAGAGCTAACGGTTAAGAGATGTACAATATTCGTACGTACGGGTGTGTGTGTGCGCGCACACGCGCGCGTGTGTGTGTGTGTGTGTCATAGCGTCTTCCTATAAGGGACAGACATGGGCTCTTCACTGAACTACATTGTTGCGGTTCTGAGAAAAACAGAGGAAAGAGAAAGAATCAAGATATGTCCAAGCATTTATAATGTCGTATGACCGGCTCGAGAACACATAGACAGTTTTTTAAGGTAAATTAATTTTAACCGTGAGAACTTAGACGAAAGCATGATATTTGCATTAATTGACCAATCCTTAGTCAGAAAAATATCAAAGCTCTGAGATCAACTTTGGGGTCTAGTTTGTACAATAAATTGACGTCGAAAGAAAGTGGTAGTTTTATGCTATCAGTGTAACCCGGATATAAGAGAGTTGTCGGGACCAGAGAAGAAATCTCTTATATCCGGGTTTCTTTTATATCCGGGTTTCTCTTATATCCGGGTTTGGTCTATTTTGTTTAGGTAACACAGGCTCTAATTTGGTACCAGAGAAAATCTCTCTTATATCCGGGTTTCTCTTATATCCGGGTCTCTTATATCCGGGTTACACTGTATATATAATTGATCTGTTTTGTCATTAATACTTGCAGTAATTCCTGATCACGGACAACTCATTTTTCTTCATTTGTTATGCACAACCTACAGACTGAGTGACGAAATATTCTCCAAACAAAAGCAAAATATTACAAATATGATTCTTAATCATCAGATTATGTTTGCCTGGTGCAAGAAATATTTAGGTTGAAAAGCGAAGTGCTGATATGAATTGGATTGAAGCAGGGGGTTTGATGACATATCAATGCTTGTTGGACTATTTAATGATTAAATCCCTTTTTATTATATTTGAATATATAGGTAAACATAAGGCTGTGTTTATAAGCAAATATTGGTCGGGTTCATGTATGATTATTTAGACAAATATTAGTCGGGTTTCCACTTGAGTCTGTAGATAAACATTGATCGTTTTTATACCTGGGTCAATAGATAAATATTAGTCGGATTCATAGTTGAGTTTGTAAGTGAAAATATGTCAGGTATATACTTCGTTCTATAGGTATACATTGTTAAGGTCTATACTTGTGTCGGTATCTATAGAAATAATGTATTTAAAAAATATTATTAATCCGACAAATGTCTAGCACTTTAAACGGTCTTATGTGATCGGCGACGCCCTTCGTGGCTGGGTCGGTTAAGAGCACGATGGTTCTAAAGACGGTTTATGCTGCAAAGGGGGACACAAGTTCAAATCGATTGGTTGGGTTTAGACTTGAATCTCTAGGTAAACATTGGTTGTCTTTAAACTTGATTCTACATGAAAATGTCTGTGGGGTCTATACTTGAATCTGCAAGCATGAAATCCGAGCTGGCGCATTTTTACTTCGTTTGTAGGGGTGTATTCTAGGTCCCACTGATAGCAATCTTACGAAGGATACTATATGCAAAAAGTAGCATAAAAGAGCAAAACTTTTTGGTAGTATCTCGTAGCTTTAATATAGACAAACAATTGACATTCACTGTACTGAAGTCTTTGATCCGCTGAAATTTAAATCTTTTAATTATTCCTTAAGGAAAGCATAAGTAGATGTGCGTTGAGTTAAAAATGGGGATGGGTAGAAGAAAACCAACCTCAAAGAAAAATAAATAAACGAAGTTAAAAAAAATCGAAGGAAAAGAAAACAATTATTGGTTGATTGATTTCTTTTTTTGCCGTTATCAACTTTTAAAGATAATACTTATTTACTAATATAAATCCTACTAATTAACCTTGGGATAGGAGAAGTGGTGGACCTTTTCCAATGGTTATTTGCTCGTAAGTGAATATAACGAATCAGACTGGAATTGAAACTCGTCTCTTCGATTAACAATTCCAAGCCGCTCTCCATTTCACCATCCGCACATTCAAGCTTACAACACCTGGTATTGAGGATTGGGACATACCCATTAGTGTTCATAAGTATGGTTTATAACAGTTTAGCATGCAGATCTAGTGAACCATAGTTAGTGAGTTGAGTGCTCTATCAATCTTGCCTTGTTCGAATATTAGGTAAGTATTAACAGCAATGAAAGTTCCCTCTTTCATTCCTAACCTCAATAGCTTTTCAAACTGACGTGTAACCCAATAGCTTGAGGCTTTTTAGCTAATCCCATTCGCTTTTGTAAGCAGTCGGGTCATGTGGCGATCCATAGCCATTTCCGGGGCCACATGATTCAAAAGAGCCACGTTTCTGAAGGAAGATTATTCAAAGAAGAGGTCAATTCTGGGTTGGAGCGAAATTGCTAATGAATAGTGGTAAAGTCATTTGGGAGGATCAGATACTATTGACATAATGCTAAAAAAGGAAAAAAACAACAGAAATGACTTTTGGCAAACATACCACGTGCTTTTCTTGTTTATTAGGCGAATAATACTAATTTCTCATATTCAGGATAAAACTAATTCTTCTTCTCTGTGCCGTGTCTCTTCGGGGCATGGGTGATCATGGCTCTCTACAACTTCATTTCTTGTGACTCTTAGCAGTTTTCCTTCTTTTGTTAAGTTTCCAGCTCCTCCCTCCAACCACATCGCCATCAATTCATACAAGCTCGTCAGGCAGGTCGCTTACTGCTTTCCCTTATCTTTCTTGCCATCAATATGTCCTGTGAGAGTTACGTTTTTCAGGTCCACTTTCCTCATTATGAGTCCAAGGAATTTCAGCCGTCTCTTCCTGGTTCTGAGTATAAATGTTCTTTTTGTTGCTATTTTCTTTAAGACTTACTCGTTGTTTACTTGCTCTGTCTATGGCATTCTCAGTATCCTTCTGTAGAACCACATTTCTGTTGCCTCCAGTTTTCTATTATCGGTAGAGAAATGAATCGCTTACTCTCTCTCTCTCTTTTCTTACACACATAGACACACACACGCGTGCGTGCGCGTACACACAGAATATATATAGAATAAATAAATATCTGTGTTTAAAATTAACTGATCATACCATTATTTTCCCTTGTAGTTATATGTACTTTTCTTTTTCGTTGTTTCTGCTGCTGGAAGTGTTCGATTGATGTAGATTTTGTTATTTGGTAATGTTCTTCGTTTGCAATTTTCAATCATGTTCTTTGAGATATATAGGATTAATTCCCTTATTGTCGTGTTCTCTATTATGTCGATTCCATTTATTCTCAATTACTTATTTGGCGTATTTTTTTGTAGCCCCTCTCGATGTCGTCACTGAAAATTTTAACTTCGTTGATCGAATTCATTGTCATTACTAGTAAAGCATTTTCTATTATCTACATACCTGGTTATGTTAAATGGTTAACTTTTTCCATCATACTTAAAAAATTAATTCCTTAAAAGTTACTTAAGATTATATATTATTATGAATCTCATATTAATTTTGACGTCGATTTCAACGTATATAGGTCCAAGAGTTTAGTTTTAGAATGTCACCACTAAACTACCCACACATATTTTTTGTTTAGTGGTATATCAACTTCTATGGGATATTTAATGCCGAAATCAAAATATTTTGCCCGAAATTTTTTTGAGGGGGGGGATTATGGTTCTACTGATAAAAGTCTTACTAATTAACGCAAAGCTGGTGAGAGGAGCGGTGGATTCATGCCTTTCCCAAAAAGGTATTTGCGCGTAAGGAAATATAACAAACCCAACTGGAATTGAAACTCGACTCTCCGATTTCCAATTCCGAGCCGTTATCCATTACACCAACAGTACATCCAAGCTTACAACACCTGATATTTCCAAGCGGTCACCTATCCAGGTACTGATCAGGCTCTATGTTGCTTAATTTCAGTGATCATGATCACCAGTGTTTGAAGGTGTTATTGCCGTAAGCCTTAGGTTTCTTTGTTTTCTAGCTGCTAAAAGGAAAGTTTGATATAAACAGAGGCTAAGACGGCTATCATGGATTTTATAAGTATGGAAACGGTAATCAGATGGTAAAAGAAACCTATGGTCAAGTCCAGCAGAATTCAATAATTTTACAAAGATGTGATGGAACTAAAAGTCTTTATCAGCTGTTTCAATCCACTTATCCATTCCCCTATGCAGTGAAAACAAATATCAACTCAGGTTGGTTAGCAGCTGGCTTCTAGTTAGTTTGACAAGCCAACATCCTCCCCCATTGCTACACTTATCCAGAGACAAACAAATGCATATAGTCACTTCCCTCCTCCACGCACACACACCCCGACGCACTCCGCACGAATATTGCAAATAAAAGAAGGCACGTGTTAATAATAAATGCCACCTATGTGAGAACTCTCGCGAGTTTTTGACGAGATCTTCATTGCGCTATAAGCTTCTTAGTGTCGGTAATCTTCCACTCAGATTTGAGCTTTTGGCCGCCTGTAGTAGCGTGGTGCGGGAGATTTATGGTATACTCACAGTGACTGATGGATTAGTAAAGAGAAGGTTGGCGATCTCTGCGTGATTCAAAGTCAGAGATGACAATTTGTGGACTACACAGTATATTTTGAATCACGAAAAAGAAGAGTTTTAGTAGATTGCTTTTATAGTAAGGCACAGTACGCTGTTATTTGACTTATTTCTATGTACTTGAGTGCTTCCATCTAACCATTTATCTATCAAACCATGCATTTTATCAACTGACAAAGAGCACAGTTATTGATCGGTAGTCTTTTTTCTTGGTTTTATGCTCGCTTGCATTCATTCAAGTGCATGCATTTCTGCGGACAGACAAACAGATAGATAGATAGATAGATAGATAGATAGATAGATAGATAATGGATGAACCGAAATAGATAAATAAGTAGAGATATAGATAAATATGAACAGACTAAAATCGATACACTTATTAAAAAGAATGTGAGATTAAAAGAGAGTGAGACAGACCTGAACAGACTCGTACATACATACATATATATATATATATATATATATATATATATATATATATATATATAGATAGATAGATAGGATTAACTCGATAAATCTAAATATAACTTCTCTCTATATATATAAGGAACTAAGCTAGCTATATAGGTGGGTTGGTAGGTAGGTAGGTAGGTAGGTAGGTAGGTATGTTGGTAGGGAAGTTGTATGAACATAACAAGATCGATAGACATAAAAAGGTGATAGCAAGATATGAAGAGTAAAACAGATAGATATATATGAACAGTCATAAACACACACACACATGATAAAAACATACTTTTAAGGTATGCTATATTTATGGGTTGTAGTTTAATGTGCTCAATATCAAGCATAGAGTGTATGCAAACATAGAACACAGACACACATACACACACACACACTCACACTCACACACACACTCACGTATATATATATATATATATATATATATATATATCGTTGAAACGACTGACAAGGTGTTGTGGTTGAGTTTTTTCTCATTTGTTCGTATGATTCTTTCTTTTTTCCTGAAAAGAAAAAAAATATGCAAACACATGAGAAAAACTTAACCACCACACCTTGTCGGTCGTTTTCAACGAAACTTTGCAAAAAGACGCTTTGCTGCCCAAATACACAATATATATATATATATATATATATATATATATATATATATATATATATATATATATATATATATATATATATATATGATGTTGGTGATAAAGCGCATATGAAAAAGAAAAAATTAGCTGCTCAATATCAGACTATCAGCATAAATAATATCAGGAAACATGTCCGCAACGAAGAGATCTCAGCGAATACGTTAGAAATTTAGTGAAACTATAGCACACATTGTGACTGGGTACTCAAATGTAGCTCAGAATGAGTATAAAAGTTCGTACTTTTAGTACTGCTCAGTTATTGCTCGCCCTCTTTCCACTGAGTCCAAGTATACACGGCCCAACGAAAGCTCACAATTACTATGTCATTAAATTCACGAACCACCGCTTTAAACCACTGGGTGTAGACAAGATATTCCTAGACATAGATAGTGGAACGAGAACAGTCTACCCACGTAGATTAAATAAAGGGTTTAGTTCAGAATTACCCAGATCGATATATATACATGATGTAGGTCAGGGTGAAAAACGGCCGAAACTTTGTGATAATGTAGTGTAAATAATGATAAATCCGCATCCCAAAAATTCAGACAGAAAAGTTGGTAAGTAGTTGGTTTTGGTTTGGTTTTGGTTTGGTTTTGGTTTACGGCATTTCAACCTCAATGGGTTATTTAATGCCGACAAGATTTTTATTACTGGTAATTTTTTTCTAAAAGTGCATAGCTGGTAATTTTTTTCAAAAATGTATTGCTGGTAATAATTTTTCTTCAAAAATTTATTGCTGGTAATAATTTTTTACAAAGTATTTTTGGTATTAAAACCTATTTTTTCACTTTCATAGTGTTTTGATCTCAGTTTTTTTAACTAACATACTACTACCCCGTATCAATGGTGGATCTGGGAAAACCAGCAATAAAGAGGTGGTTCCAAGCTCCTCAAAACCTCCTGATTAGAAGCCTTGCTGTTGGACGTAGTTCATCGTCATACCCAGGACGCGGATGTAGGTTATCGTCATACTCAGGTCGGTGGGATTGGATTGGATTATTATGATGTTTAATGGATGTGTGCTGGACTCATCCAGAGGTCCGTGAATAGTAGGAATCAAAAAGATTTATACATAGCTCACCTATGTGTCCTTCCAAGTTTTAAGAATTAATAAGAAATACTCTATTTTCTGGCAATAAAGACGCACATTTAAATTGAAAAATATTCTACTGTATCCAAAACGCTGGTGTTATGACCTTGGCATAATCCACTGGAATTTGAAATAAGGAGTTTTGACGTTCGGATGAATTGCAGTGAGCGATAGTTCTAGCAAACAACTTTGTAAAGCATACATTTTTTACATTATTGGTAGGAAAAGTGTTGTAGCGTTGCGCTTCTTTGTATGGTAGAATTCATTTGGTTAGAATAAGCTATAATCTTGTCTCCTATCTACGACAACAGCACAAGAGCTTCATAGAAAAGTATATAAATTATTAGGGAGAAATCTAAATAACAGAGTAAGCGTATCAGAATTTAAATAATTAATTTACACAAGCTATTTCCAAACAAATGCAACTTCCCAGACAATTTGTGTAGTTAAGATGTTTCAATCTACTAAGATTGCAATTTATCGAGGTCAAGGAGAATGTTTGAAAATATAACCAGAACTGTTTAAGAAAATTGGTTTAAATTATTTTTTAATATTCAAGAATAAAATGACCAGACGAAAGAGGTACAGTTCAGAGTCATGTATAGATCAGTGTCTACAGCAAAAATACTACGGCATAGAAATGACTTATGGATTGTCGTTTAAAGAAATCACGAGTTAGCCATGTGAAAGCTCATTTTAAATTTAAGAATGATACATTTTGTTAAAAGCTTTTGGGAAAGGGTACTATGACTGGACTAAAATAAATTTGAATTATCTATGTATAATGGTCACAAGGTTTTAGAATTAGATGATACCTTTAAAGCATACCATTCCTATAGTAAAGCGTGCGCTTAGCAACATCATGCCATGGTGGTGTTGTTATCGGTGGGTTAGATAGACTTAACTGGGTTGAATGAAAAAAAAAATAGGCACTATTTGACCTTCATGTCTAAAAAACAACAACAAAAAAAAACAACAAAAAAATAAATTCGGTGTGCCAAAAAGAATGGTGATTCCCTTGACACCGCTATTATTATATGCAATTTGACTCCCTTGGCAATATTTACACACAAGATTATAAAAATATGTGAACAAAGTACAATGCTGTATTTATTATTTACCTTTTATAAACATTTATTTATCATTTTGTAAAGAGATAAATTCGAAAAGAAATTCTCTTATTAAAAAATTTAAAAAAATATCAAAATATTTAAACCAACTACAACACAATATTCATGATTTTTTCATAAATAACTATGAAAATAATTTCTTATTCATTCTAATAAATAAATAGAGTTTAACATCTTTGTTGTCAATTCTCAAGAATAAATAAAATATATGCATAAATTCACTTTCATATGTTTCAGTGATATCAAAATTATAATAAACGTTTTTTAAAAAACAATAAACATTGCCGATGGAGCTAAAAGTGTATACAGTAATAGTGGTGTCAAGGGAATAACTGTCCTTTTGACACACCGTATTTTTTACAGTCACGAAGTTTAAACATTGACCCCAAAATATGAAAATCCTGAAGAAACTGGGCCAACAAGATCACAGTCTAAAGCGCACTTTCTCTAGTCGATTGACTGGAAAAAAGGTATATATATATATATATATATATATATATATATATATATATATATATATATATATATATATACCCCACCCCCGAAAAATAAATTTCGGTCGAGCACTTTTGAGAGAAATCGCGAATTTGTAAACAGTGAATGCTACTGCTGATAATGCAAAGCTATTCTATTGATCGAGCTCTCTGAGTCACTGGCATGTTTATTCAAAATAAATACGAAAAATTCACCTTCCTCTCTGCCGAGAGCCGATAGGTTAGGGGAAAAATTTCTGACTGGTGCCAAATCAGTCGGGTTACGATTCTGGCATGAGGCAATCGGATGTCTAGCCACTCTGATGAGCAGTGATAGAGCGAAACTCTGTCTGTGGATGATTCTCTCTCTCTCTCTCTCTCTCTCTCTCTCTCTATATCTATATATATATATATATATATATATGCCAGTCATGGTAAAAATAAGCACCAAGGTTATTTTTGCCGGCAAATATAGTGTTTTAGAACTAAGAATATATTATATTTGGAATCGTCCGCGCAGTGGTTGTGTGAGCTGCGTAGGCAGGACTTGAACAACATGGATTCTGTGGTCTGTGACTGTTGTCTTCAGTGGATGC